GTCCGCCATTCTTTCTGGAGGTCCGACACCTCAGCTTGGACAGTGCATTTCAGACTTTGTTATACCAGCTGAAGGCTACTCAGTGTATTAATTTAAGTCTTATTCGACAGTACAAGGGCAAGGACAGTATGGTCAGTACAAGGATGATGATAGTTCACAATAATAATTCTTACACTTGTCAAGAGTGCCATGTCTTCAGCATGGAATCAAGCTCTCTTTATGGGCTGCTGGTACCTGAACTGGGGTTAACGCCTTTACCTGAACTGTGGGTTGTGTTGGTTGGGGTACTAGACATTACTTTATAGAGCTTCTTGTAAGACACTAGGGAACACAGCTCAATGACAGGGAGTTTACGAGGACCTCCCTCAAGTGTTGGAACGTAACTTGCTTCCCGCCTCGCGGGAAAGTGCTGGTCAAAAAAGGAAAGAACCTGCGAAACCAATGCGGAGCACAGTTCACCAGCCAGTTTTGCAGGGGACTTCAATTATAAAAAAATGACAGACTCTAGTTAGCAAGGAAGTGGAGTGACCTATGGATCCCAACTGCCACATGAGCATGAAAAATTATAATATAATAACTACAAAATCAAAACTCATGAAAGTGCTGTTTAATTTTTCCCAGTAAATTCAAGGTTTCTTCATGGTTTTTATCCGTGAAAATTCCTTGGAAAAAAAATTGAAAACCTTTAAAATTTCCATATTCATGACCCATGAATTTTTCCCACCCACGAACACTACTATGTAGATCAACCAAGCAGAAAGGTGGGAATTTACCAGCATTCAACAGAGCTCAATTTCGGTGAAGTTATGGCTTAGGTTCGGTATTTACAGGCCTGTTCCACTGGGCAATGCATCGCCTAAAACAAGGTGTGATTAGGAAAAAGTTTTTGCAAATGGGTGTCAATGTTGCCTAAGATGGTCTTGATGGACATAATCTTAAAAGGGCAGTCAGCAAACTGGCGAAACAAGCTATAGGTAATATGACGTCAGTGTTCATACAAAAAAAATTGCAACAATTTTTGAAGAACATTTTTCAAGTTGTTGTTTTAGAACTATGCGACGAGAGAATTCTTGTTGCTGCATAGGAGTACTGGTTACACTTACTTGTGGGAAAAGAGACAAATATTTCTTTAGAATCAGTTCCAGTTTCATTCCTTCCTGTGCATCTGTATTCACCTTCGTCTTCAATGAGTTTTTTTAGCAAATCCAGTTCCCTTAACCAGTTATTTGCCATTCTGGTTTATTGTTATCTGAATTGGAGGAGTTCCTCTCGCTGAACACTCCAACCAGAGACTCAGCATTGCTCTGACGGCAGTACCAGGGAAATGTGTTTCAGGCTTTTCTGTAGTAACAACAGCAACAATGGCAACAACTAATTTCATGTGATTAAACCAATCTTTATTCAAGTATCAGAACAATAAGTAATATGTACAATTTCAAATTATATCGTATTGTTTACAAATTAAAAGCAAATATATGTCCACGATAGAAAACTATTTACAATTGTGAATAATTTAAAAGTAAGGAAAGGAAAATCAAGCATTACTAAGAATCTAGGCCTAAAATTATGAGTGCAGATATAGCCCAGCTACAGCGAAAGTGAAGTCTTCTGAGACCTCACGTAATTTGAATGGATATCTAGGACATCTGGGGCATCTGTGTACAGTTCTTAATATAGCGAATGAGAGCTGTATTTGAAGCGAGGATTTGCTGGCGTAGGGTTCACTGTTCTAAGTCGAAAGCTTATTTGCAACAGTTCTTAAAAAGTTCCGACAGTCAAGTCCCATGCCCCCGTTTGTACCAAACATCAGTGGTGTAAAAGTTCCCATCTCTACATCCATCACTCTCTGGTTGTATTGCCTCTTCTTCTTGTTTTCTTGCTCTTTGAAGATCGTAGCTGTGTACCTGCCCTGGTTGGACCGGGAGTTAACATGCGTTACACGTACGTCAAAGAATGCCGTTACTCCTGGTGTCCAAAAACCTCCTGCCTTCATATCTAGCCTTGTTTCTTGACTTGTAACAGTGGACTGAAGGTTGAATACTTCATTGTCGAGTGGTTGCAGGAGTGGCTCTGTCTCCACATTTCTGCACACTTTACTGATGTGTGATATCAGAAGATCTAATTTCATTGATTGATTTATCCCCAACAAAACGTGCGTGCATTTCAACACTTTCATTGGCCAGTTTTTCAACTTCTAATTGTTAGGCTGGCTTTCACTAGCAACAAGCCGTAAGAATTCGAAGTCGGAGTCAGAATCGTGAGTGGAGTCGCAAGGGTGCATATGACCTATTAGAAGTCAAAGCAAGTGCAGTCAGGTGCTGGCTGGCAAGGTAAAATAAGAAAAGCGCATGGAACAATAATCAGTTCACCTTCCGACAAGAAAGCAAAAGCATCTCCGCAAGTGAAGACACCCAAAAAAGGAAACTTGACCTTTTTGATATGAAAATAACAGTGCTAGTCTTTTCTCTGGTATTTGAATTTCAGAACGTGATTGAGATCAACGCAAACCAAAACGTCTCTATGGCTACACAAACTAAACATGGACAGCATTCTCCTTTCTTCTCGAACTGCCCGTAAAACATTGGGATTTCCATTGTCTCACCATTTGATAGTTTCAGAACCTTTTGGTACCAAATGCAGTGTCTTGTAAATAGCGAAAACTAGCTTAAAGTCAATGTTTGATGCACTGCCTCATCTTTCTTGGGTACCGACCTGTAGAATGCTTTGCACGAAAATTAACAAACTTCATTAACATGATGCAGAATTAATTTAACTGCATCAAGAGAGGAAGTAGTTCGTGCAGCACTGCATTAATTCAGATTGGATCTAAATAATTTTAATAGATCTTTCAAAAGGTTTTTTTGATGCTCTTTTCTTAAATCAAGAGGAATTTTTGCAGGCTTATAGAAGCACTGGACTGAGACAGGTTGTCCTTCCAGTACTGCTTTGCAATTTGAACAAAACGCGATTTTTTTACCAATTTTTGAAGTCTACATTTTTGCGGTACACCTGTGCCGCTGATCACGCAAACTAGCAGGCTCACATATGGCGTCATGTGACGCAAATTAAGGAACTTGCATTACCTTGCCTTCGTCAGCTGTACACAAAAAAGATCAATTACAAGTAAGGATTAAATCACAATGTCTTCGCAAGAAGAAAGTTTTTCTGAAACAGAAAAACCAATCAGAACGCTTAATGTTTTCCTGTTGATAAAGTCACGTGTTCCTTAAAGTACGTCATATGACGTCATACTCCGAGAGAAGACTAAGACGAATGGTGTGCCAAAATGACGGCAAATTTGAACGTTTTAAAAAATTCGCCAAAAATCGTCTTTAGTTCAAATCGCAAAATGTTTTCGCAGAAGTTATTTTAATAAGGTGTAGTTTCAGATAAGGAAATATAACATTTTAGGTGATGGGCACTTTAAGCAAGTTGACTTCTAAGGCTTTCTTGACAGCAGCCATTGTTACTAAGTGTCCAAATCCTTTGCGTTTTCGCTTGATTTGTCTTGTGTGCCGTAATCACGCAATCAAAATTACGCATGGGCCATATCCATGTAAATTAATGCACACTTTCATTTGGGGAAAAAACAGCTGCCTTGGGAGAGTGGGCAGGAAAGCTAACAAAATGCTATCAAATGCAATGCATAAAAGATAATCTTACACGGTGAATAAAACGACATTATTAACACCATTTAACTATAGTTAAAGAGAACCTCCACTCTAAAAAAAATATCGCCCAGAATGCTCAAGTCTCCAAAAGTAGATTTTTCGCACAGAAAAACGTTCTCTTGCGTCATGTTTTTCTTTTTGGCCTCTTAAAAAAGGGCTTCAAGACCAGTTCAAACTTCCTGCGATGGCCATTTTGATTGGCCCACAAGGCTCTCTGGGGTGATGACGTAAGATGGTTGCTCATCCTGGTCGCCCAGCCGCATGTTCTGGTCATCTTTTCGTAAACAAATTTCATATTGTGATTTTAAAACGATGTCCATTCAGCCGTATCAGCTTGAACCTGAATATTCATCCAGTGGGGAAGGAGAGGAAGAACAGCTTGATTCAAGGGAGGAAGAAGTCTTTTCTTTAGATGGATCTTTAGATGGACCTGTCTTAGTGTGAATGTGAGAGATGTGTGATGCCAAGTGAAGTTAAATGTGTCTGCTACAAAGAACTTCCTTTTTTGTCACAACTGGTGGAAGGTTTGTTGATTCCGATGTAGTATATGTATTTAATTTCACTTTTGGTTTTTTGAAGGGGTGCTAGGAATATTATAAAAATTTATTATCCGGATAATTCTATTCTTGGTGGTTTCTGTTCCATAGTCTCATAGTTGTTTGCGTCCATCCTTTAATCCATCAATTTGTCGCCCATTTCCGATTAAAATGCTCTTGTTTACTATCGGAAATCGCACGAGAAACAAATCTCTAGTCAAAATTCGACACCCATACGGACCGGTCATAAAGTAGAGGGGGGGGGGTGGGCTATGAAAATTTTTTTTTTTAAAGTACTGGTTTTCAGTGGCCCACCCCCGAGTTATTTGACAAAATTGGGGCGGCCCACCCCCCAACCAAAACCAGTAACGCTGATGTGGATAGGTACATTAGGAAACATTGGCTTACCATTTTAATGAGAACCTCCAAAAAATATTCGAGATAGAAATGTTGTAACACGTCGTCCCACTCTTGAACAGAATTCATCTTCTGCCATCATTCACCTCTTGTTCATCGTCATCATTGTCTTCCTCTTCTTAGATGGAACTTCCAATTTCTTGGAGAACTACATGGTAGTTTTTGCTGCTGCCATCATACTCTTTGTTGCCACAGTCATTGTTGTCATCACCATCAGTATCATCTGCGTGAACACTATTATAGTCATCGTCATCATCCCCTGTCTCCTCCTCGTGTTCGCCATCATGAAAATCAATATTTTCTTCCATGTTAACCTTTCTCGCAGCTTGCTCAATAGTTGCTTTGTCAAGCTGGGCTTTGGCTAAACAAGCTGAAATTAATACTGGCCTCTCGTTTTTCCTATTTTCTTATTTCCCAATTGGTGCTTTTCCAGAAAGAGATTCACAGCTGATACTTTTGGCTTTTTCAGAATCCCCGCCATGAACATCTCTTCCCAGTTGTAATCAGCGTACTTCTTTTGGGAGTCAGTTTCTCTCTGATGTTTTCTGTCATCTTTTTGTTTCCATTTCTTCACTTCAAGATATTGGGGGTGCGGGAGGTACTTTTGCACATGTAATTCCTGAACAGCAAAGGTTTTGGAAAACTCAGCAATTGAGTCACTGTCTTCCAGGGTTAGTTTTCTTTCTTTTACATGCCTTTTAATCTGAGCCGTTGGTTGATAATCATATATCTCTCTGGAATGTCCTTCTGGTGAAGTGATAGGAGTTTCATCAAATGATAAATATTTCAGATCTGGTAGAGCGGTTTCATCAGGCCTTGGACGTGGTACCCGGTGCAAAGAATCTCTGAAAGGAGGGAATTTCGTGCAAAAATCACAAAGGACTCCCCGTTTTGTTGGCAATCACCTTTGATATACTCTAAGTATAGTTCTCCGACGTGAACGTGCTGTTCGATGAAGGCATTGATGTTTTTAAAGTACACATGGCCTATTATGTCGTTTTGTTTCGATTCTGCTGTTGACACAAACTGCCTAGGTTGTTCAGTATTGAAAAAAAATCGGTCTTCTTTTTGAGGTGTGACGAAGGAGTGCATAACGTCTCCAGCTGTTAGATGCAGTCAATAAATCTTGACTAGTCATTAGTCATTAGTCGCTCAATCGAGATATGAAAGGATAAATGAATTTCTTGTGACTGAAATCTTGTTCCACTTGTTAGTTGTAGCTACCAAACAATCAATATAGCGATCATCAACCACACCTTTAGAAGAAGAGGCCAAGTTTCTCTTTTTCATCACACCAATTACTCAGCAATAAACATGCAATAGGGCAAGGAAAGTTGCAGATGTGAAATACATTGCCATTTTCTTTACAGTGATAATCTTAACTCGAAACTAGTGCAAAGTCCATTTTAACATATGTTACATAGTTACCTTATGGCCAATGAAGTAATCTGCCCCTTTATTATATTTACTGGGAAAGAAACACAGGCTTAGAAGGGTCTTCACAACACCAAGGAGTAGCCCATGCATGTAATCAAGACAGGTACCCTTCATCATGTTATGATGGCAAAGAGAAAGTGCCAAACTATATCCTTTGATTCCCTGCACCTGCACAAAGAAAAAACAAAAACTATAATGGCAACAACTCTCATAGCAACAGGAAACATATGTGAAGGATAAAAAGGCACACAAAGTCATATTCACTAACATGGACAGTTAATGAAAAAGGTAGGTAAAAAAATTGTTGCAGGTAAAATACATGCATATTCTTAGTTTACTGCGCTTTTCATAAACGTGCAAATTCTGAAGTTCAAAAGCCAACTGACGTTTGCATTTGTAGCTGCCGTCAATCATCTTAGCAGACCTCTTAGGAAACATAAGTTTACTTCAATAGGTTCAAAAGCTCATGGTTTGTGATTTTTGATTGTGGATTTCGATCTGTTAACTTTAGTGTGTGTTATTGTATTTCAGGATTCGTTGCTTGTGATCGTAATTAAGATTGTGTCGTCACTTTTTACACTAACACTTCCACCAAAAACTTGAAGTCTTCAAGCAGACAAAAACTTTACCCGTCATTCGGTCTCTCTTAAACAAAAGAGGAGACTTTCACCTACACGGTTGGCTATTTTTTTTACTACCGTAATAATAGCTTAATAATATTTACCTTTTCTCCTGTCTCATTTGCGAGTTCAGCATCTTGCCTAAAAGACTCTGCTGTCCTTTGGGTTGTTGTCTTGTAATCTTCAAACAAGTATGCCTTTGAATGACCCTTTCCTAACTTAATGTTGCAGGTCGAACAACCACAGTCCTTATTGTGGGGTACCAGGCACAGCCAATAGGACTTTGTTTGCAAATCCATCGTAGAAAGTAATGGATATATATGGACAGGACAGCATTCTTTTTCTTTTGTGACAGTAATCCTGTTTAAAGAAAGAGGTTTATTGGCAAAACATCTCCCAATCAGAACTAAGAATGACAATATTACTTTCTAACATTGCCCAATTTTTAAACCTATCATCTCTTTGTAAAACAACGAAAGGCAAAGTTATGTGGCTTGATGTTGTTTAAAGTGTCCAAACATACGTCAAATTTCATGTTCTCAATTTTTAGCTACAGTTCTGGAAGGAAGGAAGAGAATGATCCAAGCAATTTTTAAAGGTAAGAATTTAATAGTTACGTTGTGGTTGAAAGTAACTTTTACGATCAAATAAATAAAATTTCATCATTTCTTTTCATGGATTATCGAAGAAAATACAGTATACTAATATATTTATTTACGTTTGCCTAGAAGATAAAAAATAAAATTTCACATATGTACCATTTTTGCTAATGCTGATCAAGGCGATAACAAGAGGGTTCAGGAATGCATGCATTAGGGACTTGTCAGAAATTAGCAGGGGGGGAGCGGGGGTGGAAACAGAGGGAGGGTCACAACATTTTGAGACTCAGAAAAGGGAGGGGTCATGAAAAATGGGCCGTTAAAAGGGGGAGGGCCATGCAAATATAGCCCGTGATCATGTAGAGGTTCACCTGCAGAATAAAAGGAAGTTTCTTATTTGGTAAAAAAAAAAGAAAAATAATAATAAACAACAACAGAACATTATGGATATAAACTGTGAAGTACTATTGCAAGAATTTAACAAACATGTACTTTTCATTTATTACACGGCAATGCTATAGAGTCTTATTGCATTTTTATTATGAATAATGTTGTTATTAATGTTATTAGAGTTTTGGCTATTCTATTCATCACTGTCTTCAGCGTCACCATCAATGCTACTGTGAGCATCTTGATCATCATCATTTATGTCATCAACATTGATACAATCACTTTCATCATCATCATGATTTTCATTTAAGTTGAAGCTTGGATATTGCTGGATAATTTCCTGTTATTCATTGGTGAACAACCCTTCTCAAAGATGTATTGGGTATATGGCCTTTGTGTTTTGTAAAGGCCACTTATTCCTTCATAATGAAGAGATAATGGGCCAATAGGCTCTGTAACATTATGCCACTCTTGCTGAGGTGCAATGGTCTCCATAACTTTTTTGCAGCTAGCTTCCATTCTTTTTGCTCTAGGTTTTTTTTGCTTTCCTTTTATTTTGTTTTTGTTTCCTTTTTTCTTGTTGGCTTGGAATACTGAACCTTAAAGAGCCTGGAACATTTTTCTTTCAATTCTGTAAGGTGGGGAGGGTCATGATATTTTAGGCCAAGCATAAGGGGAGGGTTAGCAAATTTCACTCCCATTGAAGGGATGGGTCACCTAATTTCTAAACCCAAATTTAAAATTCCCACCCCCCCCTTCCCTCCCTGCTAATTTCTGACAAGTCCCTTACAGGCTTCCCTTTGCCTTGCCATAGGCCCCAAAGAGCAACATTCTTCTTAAGAAACCTAAAATAAAAAAGGAAAGAAACTATAGTACATATTTTTTGGTCATTAGTGAATGGTAAGGTATATCATTACATGAATTCTTTAAAGAAAGCAATGAATACAAACATACTGCTTAGAAAAAAAAGATACAGCCCTTTTTTCATTTTTCAAACTTATGTATTTGGTTTTCATACTGAATACAAAAATAACACAATACCTGCAATGGGGGTACATTGGGCTGTTACTCCATTAAACAGAAACATATTCCCCGGGAGGGTTAGAAGTTTTAGAACAATACTTACCTTTGTCTCATTTCAAACGCATTACTTGCTTACAGTGTATCTTGATTTTTATTCACATTGGTGGTATTGGTGGTAGCCATGTTTCTTGTTGATATGTGAAATGACCTACTCCTCCCCTTAATAGTCAAAAGAATACAACACCCAGGAGATCCTTGCGCTATTTTGCCTTTTTGTGACCCTGGTGACAAAGCCCAATTTCTTTTGGGCTTTGCCACAGGCAGCCAAGTTGGTTTTTTTTTCTGCTAGCCGTTTTTGACCCTTGAGTTCAAAGGAAACTAGAGAATAATATAAGGTTCAACAACAACAAAATAATAATTACCGTCACCATTTGGACAAAATACATGCAGTTTACCGAATTGAAATGGGCAAAGAATTCAGAAAAAAGATTAAATAATGTACAATGAAATTTTAAAAAGATATATACATGAACACATACCTCTCCCTAGTAGGAATTTCATTAATGGCTAAGAAGACTGGCCAAACAGATATAGATGAACTGTTAAAGATGGGAATACCATCAGTGTTTAAAAGTGTAGAAAGGCAATTTGAACCAACCAAAATTCCACTTGATTCACACAGCTTCCTGTACTCACTGCCATCAATGACATCTTTGACATGACCGGAGAATGGCTTGTATCTTTCTTGCAGGGTAGCTTGAATGGTCTCCCACATTGCATTTCCATTAAAAGAAGAGGGGCCGTGTCATGCCCTTACATAACATTGAACGAGCAATGAACATATAAATTTATAAGACCAAGCTCATCCTGTGGCATGGTGATCATTAAGATTCCCAATACTGAAATAGCATTACCATTAATAAACTCCGTTGAAATGGTAGTATTGCACGTTATGTACCATTTCAATTCCAGGTTTGCATCCACCAAGGCGGCATGTTGGGGGTCAAGACCATAGACCTTTTTCACAAAGAATTTACATGAAAATGGAGTTTAGTTCCTAAAGGAGAGAAACAATTTTGTTCTTGACCACTAATGTAGCATGGCCAACGTCCAAGCAATGCATGGACCAAGTCAGGGGTTTCAATAAGTTTTTGCACAAGTGGGTGCTTAAGAGTAACAGGCGGGTATATTTGCCGAAGACCTGAAGGGCCTTCGACCCTTGGGGGTCCAAGGACATGCTCTACCGGAAAATTTTGAAGTTCTAGACTCTCGCAGATGCATTTTCAGGTCTTTTTTTGTTGCTTTGGTGTTTCATTTTTTTGCTCCTAAGTCAACTAATTTAAACAAATTTAAAGAGAATTATGTTACAATGAAGTAGTCAGTCAACTAGTTCTATTGAGGTGCTACTTTTTAACACTTTCACAACTGGTATCTTTAAAATGGTCTACGTTTAATGTAGTTTTAGCTCAGGGTTTAATCCTTAAATTAAAAAAAATAAATCTATTCTACAGAGAAACATGGTTATATTTTAGTCGCATATATTATTACAAAAACACAGAGGCAACTTAAACAGTGTATGTAACTGAGTGTCTTATATCACTTATATCAGTCTGAAGCCACTTAATTTACGACTTGATTTTCAAGACTTTCAAGAGCCGAGCGTTTTACTGCTTGAGCACTTTCTACCAGATTTTAACCATAACAAACCTTCTTGATTATACCTATTGGAACATAATTTTACAAATCACTTACTTGCACAACACGTCTTACCTAAAAGTCATATCCCAAACCTAAATACAAGGTGGAATGTGGAAAATCTCTTCCACTGTTTATATTGTTATTTCAAAATCTACTGTTACAAAAGAAAGCACGAGTCCCTAGAATAGGGATCGAGTGCTTAGTATTCATCTTCACTTCTGAAAGCAGAATCATCCGAATCATAACTTGCTTGGTGGTCTGCAAGTTTAAAAGCTTCAACAGCAGCTTCCACCTTTGCTTGCACACTTGCTTCTTCAACTTTTTCATCTTCCTGGACCTGGATATCGGTTTGGACAGCAGAGTCCACAAGAATGGCTTGAACTTCACTCTGCGAGTTTCCAGAAGTGCCACCTTGATTTGCAGATAGCGGGAGTTTCCTTCTTTTCTTTGCGTTTCTCCAGGCCTCAACAGCTTCTTCAACAAGTTCCTGTGCTTCGCCGACAGGTGGTCCGTTGATGGATACATGCAGCAGCGCCTCCAACATCTGATTAGTCATACTGCTACGGAGTCGACTCTTTACCCTCTTAATAGCACTAGCTCCTCTCTCAGGCCATGCATTTGACATAGGAAGAGAAAGAATGATTTCTGCAATCCACACAAGCTTAGGGTAGAAGTGGCCCTATTCTGTGCACATGGAAAGTAGCCTCTTCAGACTCCACTCAGTTGGGGTGATGTTGTCAAGTTCCTGAGGAATCTCCTCTTTCCACAAAAGAAGATCGTATTTTAACTTCTCGCACTCTGCTTTCACTTGCTGCTGAGCTTCCTTGTCACCTGGAAAGTAGTGGTTTGACAATGTGCCGATTTCCTTCGACCCATAGCTTAAAAACTCTGCTGTTCCACGGTGTTGAATGGCATTTGCATTAAAGATGGCAAATGCACAGACCACTGTAATCGCATCCTTGAAACGAGAATCAATGTTCTGGTTGAGGGCTTGTGTGTACTTCTTTAGAAGGTTGCGAAGAACTTGTATCTCGTGGTCATTGCTTTTAAACTCACAGGTACCGAGCCGGCCATTCTCCCGAAAATCAACCTGAAGTTGGGTGATGGGGGTTTCGTCTTGTGCTATCTTCGTTAGCTTGTCAGTAGTGTAGGTGATAGCTGGTAGGATATGGCCAAAGTTGACGGTACCTCGCTGGAGTACTCTGCTTAACGCAGCAAGCTCTGGAAGGACAGCCTTCAATATATATATCATACCAATAAACTTAAAGCTCTTCATTTTGGACAGCAGATACGTCACCAAGCCATCTTTTTCATCTGCGAGATTGATAGCTTGTATGATAGGAACAAAGTCTTCATACACTCCATCTACAGCATCGGTTGTTGACAGCCAACGTGCTCTGCAAGCTGTTCGCACCTTTTCTCTCCACAACAGACCTTGCTTTTTCTGATAGCTTCATCTTGCGCCACCACTCTTGTGCTTTCACCAAAAGAGTAGTCCGCTAAGGCAATGTAGCAAAAAACTCCCAGAGTTGCAAAAGGACTCCTTCGACTTGTGTGATGTATTTTGTCTCATCACACGCACCAGCACAAGCAAGGGCCAGTCTGTGACAGACAGTGCACATTAACTAGCTTGCTGTTGATTTGCTTCAGTCAGGCAGCAACACCTGTTCTTTCGCCAGTCATTACTTTGGCGCCATCACTTACTAGGCTCATCATCTGAATGTCAAGTCGACATTTGTCCAGATTGTTAGTGATTGTCTGAGCATTGGCAGAAGAGGAGTCCTCCAAAACATTGTCGACAAAAAGGAATTTCACCATAGTCTCTCCATAATCAGAGACATACTGAGCAAAACCTATCAACTGTTCCATGACCAAAATGTCCGTTACCTCATCAACTAATGGACCAAATGCTTTTGATTTCCTTAGTTCCTCAACCACTCTCTGCTTCAGTACTTTGCCTAGAGTCAAGAAAATCTCGATAGTTGACCCAGCGGAGCGATGACGAAAATGCTTCATGTTTTCAAGGCCAAGCCTTTGTAGAAATGTGAGAAGTGATAGAAACTTCTCTTCTTTATCCAACCAGTATACCGACATAAATGCATTCTGTAGGACTTCATCTTTGCTCTTGACTTGTTCCTTGACTTCTCTGTGAAAAATTGACACTTGGCTGAGCATCTCTGCCTGAACAGCTGCTACATACTGAGCATTTTTTGAATGATCTTTTAGAAGATCTGTTTTCAGGCGCTGTGCAGGTATGAGGTTATATACTTTACTGTAGGTTTTCAGGTTTGCAGTATTGTGCTTCTTACGCAACAACAAAACATCCCCCCTTTCTCATCATCTGATTCCTCCTTATAAATCACCCACCACATGCCAGTACATCAATCAAATGCCAAGTAATCATCTGTTATCTATCGGTGCTTGAAACGGTCTCGTTTTAGGGCAGAATTTTTTTTCTGCTTCCTTTCAGTTAGGCTGAAACAATTATTTTTATTACAAGTGTAATAACTGTGGACGATTTCAGAAGGCCCGAACAGCTTCAACACAAAATGATCACAGAAATCGATGCTCATCTCGCTTCTTGTGTAGGATGTAGCGGGTTTTACAATATTTGCTACGCTCTCACCAGATTTCGAAGATGGAAGGGGCTTTTCCTTCGCTGACGTCAGTGACTTACTGATTTAACTATCTACTGAACTACGTTCTGCAGAAAAAGAGATCAGTTGGCCGAAGTAAGACACAACACAAGGAAAATAACTGAACATGATACGTTTTATTCAATTCCATCAACAAACGATACACAATATAGTGGCACAAAAATGAAGCATAATCAATATTAACATTTGAACGATATAATCACAGAAGGTTTTCCTTTTAATATCCTCAACTAACCTTGGGAGGAATCAGTCTCGTTTGACCTCTTCTGTTTTGACACTGGTGAAATATGCAAACAACGATTGCCTTTTGGCTGCCATTAGTATTCACACTCTGTCCCAGTTCCCCTCGATTTCAGCTGAGATGCCTTGCGCATTTTTTTTGACGTAGCTTCGGAAGCGATGTTTATTACGTGTTTTGCAGACTTTGCTTCAACTTTCATGGGCCAGAAGGCTTGGAAGATGCCAGAATCTCTTTTCCTTTTCATTTCCTTTTGATTTCCTATAACACAAAACCTATTTTGCCAAATTTTTTGGCAAGAATTCGAAGCTGAGATGAAATTATCTGGTCTTGACGTTCGTGTGAAGGCTCCAAGCGGGTAATCGGCCCGTTGCGTGGGTAGATCTACCCGCTACCCGGCTACTATTGAAACCCCTGCAAGTTATTGCAAATTTTGCTCAATGTTTGCCAAAATGTTTCTGTATAGAATAGACCTTGTCACGGTTTTCGACGCCATCTTGAGAAGTAGGCAAAACCGTGACAAATTACAGTGTTTGTATGAGAATCTAATGTCGAATAATTTCCGTAAAACAGCTGTTGTAAAAAGTATATGAACTGTAAATTAAAGCTTCACTCTTAAGGGTTGTACTGAAAAAATTTGAGGGGGTTACATGACCTAGAACTTTTTTTGAAAATTTTCTACACATTTGTCTATAAAAATTTCCTGGGAAAAATTGTAGACAAATATGTGGAAAATCTGAAGCAAGCTTCTGTAGAAATTTAAGCACAGTAACGGCCCCCAAAATTTTTTGGTAAAATCCTTTGCTGTGTAGCTTTAATTTACAGTTCATATTCTTTCCAGAACAGCTATTTTACCAAAATTATTCGACATTAGATTCTCGTACAAACACAGTAATTTCTCAAGCGTTTGCCTACTCATCAAGATGGTGTCAGAAACCGTGACAAGGTCTACATATGTTGTAAAATGTCCTGAAACTGTTCTTCCACTGGTGTAGAAACAAAATAACTTTCTTTGTTTGGCTGCCTGCTCTTCCCTTTTTCCTTGATACCGAAGACTTAAGAGACAAATAAAAAAGAGGGTGTTAAAAATAGTTAAGCTAAACCGGTCAATTCGCCCAAAGCTTTGTCGAGCGAAACCAGGGAGTTTTCTTCATCGCAATATTACAATTTCTTTTATAAATAAACAGATAAATAAAGTGGAATGAGACCATCTCTCTGAAATATCTGGCTCTTTATGTCACAGCGAAACAAAACAAGCGCAATTTTTGTGTAACGTACCTTTGAGCCATATATGATGAGACAAAAGAAGTAACGAATGTAACGGCTCTTTAACGAGACCCTGTTAGGGAGGGTGCCCATGTCCCCGTCTGAATTTCACAGCCAGCTATGTCGCAATTTCTGAACATTCTCGTGTTGCCTGTCGGAATTTCAATAATAATTTTTTAGCTCGTTGCCTGTCTGACAATCTGCATTCGCTACAACTACTCCAATGGAACATACGGCCTCTATCTTTAGTACTTTTAAGCCCAGGGTTTTAAAAGCTTTATAAATGTTTCATATTCATTCAGACTACTTGGAATAGTAATTGAAGTCAATGAAATTCCATCTAGTAAACTATACAAGTGTAGAGATTTTTAAAATGGCTTGGCTTGAATCGAGGCCTATTCTGGCAAAACACTCGAGCTATCATAACGTTTCTAAAATTCTGGTTGTGCAAGAGTCTAATGTTTCTTCCAAGTTAAACTCTGATTTAGTTGTCAGACTGTGCTTTTCCGTAACTATAACAACCCAGGAGGAAGGACATTATCAACCGTTCATTATCTGTAAGGCATGCGTTTACAAGAAGTCTGTGAAAAAATGAACTAAATGTCCAGACGATTTGGGCAGATGAGAGTTCTCTCGGATGTTATGCGAAGTGGCATTCCTCCAAAGACGACGTCTGCTGGGTTTTCATCATCATCAGAGTCGAGGTCGCTGTTCTCTTCACCGCCTTCTTTGTCTGGCAAAAGGTCTTCCACATCATTTTGGTATCGAAGAAATGTCTCGTATGATACCTCCATCA